CCTGGCGTTTTAGGCACGCCGCACGTTGTGGGTGTTACAGAGGTGTCTTATGGTCGATTGGCAGACGTGTGTGCGTGGGAAGGGGCGGAGGAGGGGGCAGTGTGAATGTAAATGTGTACACCTTTTGAAGAGGGCGCGGGGGGAAAGGGGGAAGGTGGAAGAGGGAAAGGAAGAGGGGGGGGGATAGGGGGGGAGGGAGAGAGAGGAGAGGGGGGGTACATGAGATGGATTGGGGAAGGTAATTGTGGACGAGGTGCGTGCATGCATATTGGGTTACATGGTGGATGAGGTGCGTGCATGCATACAGGCAAGTATGGCCGCTCCAAGCATTCGTAGGGCCATGTATTATATTCCTACTAGGCAACTGTTTTTCCGATGCCATAGCTCACACAGTTAGTAGATCTTCAGATGCTTGCTTGTTTTTCCTTGAGCAGATCATTCACCGAACTGTACTTCAAGTTAGAGACGAAGAGACCCTTACCCATGTGGAGCTAGTCAACTAGCTGCTTGGCTTGAGGTAGCAGCGATTAGGGATAGATGCAATTTGATTTATTGATATATTATAACACTTTGTGTAACCGTGTTCTGTTAGTCTCGCAGCCGCGTTTATCGATGTAATTTGGACTCGTTCTGCTTTGTGTGGCTGCTCAGCTCCCACGTCAAGTCCCCCCACTGCCTTTTGTGCTGATAACGTCGTTGCTTTTCAGCCAGAGGGTATTTCGCGTCAGCTATTGAGTTTGTCTTTTTTTGGCAAACGCCAGATGTAGACTGCGATTGTCACTTTCGCCTGTATGCCTTGCCCTCTGGCGAGTTGGCACGTCAGACCCCTTGCACCGCGGCCCGTTGGTGCGTGTTCTAGAAGGCGCCAGAAGCGTAGGAACCTCCACCTGCTTCGAGAATACCGGCCTGGGAGTCACGCAGACGCGGCACGCTTCAGCACCGCCACCGTTCAGAAAACACACGGGCTTTTCGGCTCCACTTGGGAGAATGTCGCTTACGTGTAACCGCCAGCCTCTTGTTCGTAACGCCGCCAGTAGTCTTTTGAGCGGTTGCGTGTGAGACAGCTCGAAAAGTGCATTCGAAATGACAAGCATCGAAACGACGTGGCTTGTTCTTGAACTTGACATTGAAGCGTGTCCGGCGGTGACGCGGTTTGGACAAGAATAATGGAATTCCAGACTCGAAGATCCAGGAATAGCAAGTCTGGTCGGCGGTTTCCCCCCTAGATCGTACGTCGGCTGGACCACGCAGGGCAGCCAGACAACAAGGCGCTTTCCCTCCAGTTGAATTCCTCGAGGCTCCCTCACACAGCTGTCCTTAGAGCTGTACATATATCCTCTTAGTTCCGTTAACCTCAGGACAGCTGTGAATCTCAAGCAACGTGATTCTTACTATTCGCTTCGTTATCCAGTCGTCTCGAAACGACAGCTGCGTCGAGCTGATTACTACCCTAGTATCTGTTTCACAAGTCTCCGCTTCCCGACCGGATTGCTGAGTGTCTAAGGGCCTGACCCGTAGACTGAGACACGAAATGACGCAAGCGGCGCTCCTCCTCCTCCCTGACGGAGGCGTGAAGCTAATTATTGAAAGAACCCGCGTTTCTGACATTATGAAGGAACACCCAGGCTTCGCTGTCGGCTCGTTTACCTCGAACCGCGAAGTCCTCCCAGCTGAGAAGCTCCTGCGATCCGGCAGCAGTTACTACCTCCATTGGGTTACTAACTTAAACGGAAGCTCCGATCTTGGGAACGCCGACGATGGGTCGTTCAGCGGCTTCCCGCGCACGAGATCTTACGCCAGTGCGCCGTCAATTCGCGGCGAGACCCCCAGCCCCGAACACCCTTCGCAGGACCTTAGACAGGCGTCGCAATCGCACAATCAAGGCGACAATTTTCGTGACTTCGCTGGTTCGCTCAACTTCGTAAGATCGACGACTATGTCTCGCCGCGCGTCGCTGGCTATTGATACGTCCACGCGAGGGGTTTCAGAAGCGCCACCGCCGCACCACCAGCAGCGACGCCAACCGAGGCAGAGGCGTAAGCACGAGCAGCAGAACCTCCCTTACGACGCGTTAAGCCCGAAATCCCCTTCAGCTCCCAGGTCACCCCGTCTTATCGGTGCCACCACCCCATCGTTGTCGCCCTGTTCGTCCATCTCGCCATCCCCTCGACAACTTTCGCCACATGGAACGATTAGCGAGCTGAGTCCGCGTTACCAGGATTTCGCAGCGTGGTCGTTAAGTACCGCCTCAAGCAGCAACGGAGACCTGCCCAGGGTTCATTCAGAAACCACCCTCCGCGCACATTCCAGCAACCACCCATCTCGGGAGGCTGCTAACGTTGGCGATTCCCCTGCAACGTCTGCAGCTCCAGTTTGCCAAAGCGGGGTTCAGGGGCGTATACTCAAGTGGAAAATAAGGGAAGATACGACGGCTACTGCCAAGGGACGCCGTCTCTCAACCTGTGCAGAGGATCTAATGGCTACGCGGCTATTGCTGGCGGGATCCTACGGCAACAATAATTCTAGGGCTAGCATTAGCGGAGTCCATCCATTGCACATGAGAAGCGGCTTCTAGCATGGCTTGGGTGGAAGCAGGTGGTTGTTCTTATGTGTGCTGGGATTTGCTTGATGATATTTTCTTTAGTCGTTTATGTATACGGAAAAGCGTGAATAATGCTGAATAAATATATATATTCTACAATGCGAATGTGCATGAGTTTAATGTATACAGTAATCTCAACCGTTCCAATTAAACTGAAATCTACAATTTTCTCGAGGCGTACTAATCGAGTACTCAACAACGGGAACTACTCAAGGCAACACAGCTCCCGTTTTCGATCCGTCGCAAATGCCCTTCGCTCATCAACACAGTCCACAGGCCACATTCTGAATGGCTGCTGCTGCTGCTTGCAATCATCTTCAACGGTCGCGCTCAAGCCAAGCTGCACATGTGCTTTGTTCCCGTGTCTCTCAATGCGCCGCTTGCAGGTCCTTTTTAGGTAATCCGCAACAGCTGTGAGAATCTTAGGACGGCGCACCCTAAACTCACCTCAGTTCCTCGCCAAAAATCAGTCCGCCAGAGACTCTCATTTACTTGAACACCAGTCGTTTGTTACGTCCATATCCCTACGACGTTTCGTGACATTCCTGACGATTGTCATGAACACTGGTAACGGCTTTTCGCGAAATTGCTGACGACATCTGCCAGTCCTGTTGACCAGTTCCGGTCGACGTTCGCCTTCCGCCAGATTCCGGCTGCACGTGTCGGTCCGTCAACGAGCTGTGTATGGCTTCAAAGCTTCCGTCGGAGGCTGAAGCCGCGCCGGGCCTATCGTCCATGGAAAATTTACAACGAGTGGAACAGGTACTATGACGAGAGAATGAGGAAGAATCAGGGACCTTCGTTGCGCGTAGAACAGGACGTGAGATCATCAAGAGAATCTACAGCGCGTGAATCACGCGGTTTGACGGACTTCTGGAAAAAGAAAAAGTTACTCACGTTGACTCTGAGCGTGCACCTTGCCCTTGCTCTGGCGTCTCTCCATGTCCCCCATGTCTCCATGTCCGCCCATATCTCCATGTCCCCCCATATCTCCCACCCGTGTCTTTTCGTGACCCCCCATGTCTCCCCATGTCGCCTCATGTCCCCCCACTTCTTCCACGTAACCCATATCTCACCTACCGTTTCTTAAACTCATCAACACCATGAATGTACAGCCAACACAATCCATGCTGTCACGTCACCCTGATCCCTTTCTGCATGGTTCACACTTACACCGTAACTGCATATTCACCCATTCCGGAATTACCGCAGCGAATAATCGACGCTGTCAGATGCGCAGGCAACGTCATGCAGCTGCTCGGCCAATCAGGACCGTCCACACCAGCACATCCGCACCTTCCAGGGAACGTTCATGGAAGCATTGCTGCAGGGGGAGGGCGGGGAGGAGCAAACAGGAAACCAGAAATGGTGGCTGGGATGTGCCAAGATTTTATGCTGGCAATGCGGGTGAGCTATTTAAAGATTTTCCACATGATGTTCCAACCAGCATGTGACACTTGAGATTCTACAGCTCCTTTTTTCCAGCTTGTTGGTTACTTTTCGGATTTCCAGCTTGTTGGTGCCTTTCTGATTTCCAGCTTGTTGGTACCTTTCTGATTTCCAGCTTGTTGGTACCTTTCTGATTTCCAGCTTGTTGGTACCTTTCTGATTTCCAGCTTGTTTGTACCTTTCTGATTTGTCCCTCATGTGTAAATATGGTTCTTGCAGGATGTTCAAGTGATTATGCGCAATGAGATCCGCATAATGTGTGAATACCGTTCCTATGAGAACAGTGACTATATGGAGCGCTTGCTAGCCGAGCTCAGTGCTGAGAAACTAGACTGCCTGGGAAACCGCATTCAGCATCTCCAGCAAATATTGGGGAATGATGGTGATGACGAGGAAAATGAGGAAGACGATGATAGTGCTGGTGGTGACAAGGCGGGTGGTGGTGATGGTGATGCGGAAAAGCCCAGCACTAGTGATGGCACAGAGAATGAAAAGACGGGCATGGATGAGTTGCCTGGGACTGTTAGTGGTGAGGGGCAGGAGAAGGCAGAAGAGAAAGGAGAGGAGGATGATCAAGAAACGGGGCGATTAGAAGACGATATTGGTTTGCCCTCAATGTTTTTATCCATGCTCCCTGTAGCTAGAGAAGAGTCACCAGAGTAAGGTTTGCTTGGAAATGTTGGAAAATATATATATGAAGTGCTTGTTCTGAAGTTTATAAGGCCCGTTTATAGGGTACAATATTGTACGACATCGTGAGGTAGCTCGTATCAAGTCTGCTCAGTCTCTTACAACTGTCTCAGTGACACTCCCTCCCCCAGTTCTGCTCTGCAGCCTCACACAGAAAGCAACCCTAAAAGTCCCGTAATTTCGTCCTTTCGTCATTTCGTAGTCACTAAGGGGTAGCCATTTCCCAGTGCAGGTTTCCGTTTCCGAGAAATTTGCAGCCATGGATGACGAGGAGGCAGCGGAAATAGCTCAGCTGCGTCAGCAGCGGTCACGCCTTAAGGAGCGCCTCGAAAGTCGCAAGAAAGCCACCGCGTCGCTTGTAAACGACTTGCTGACGTCAGCTCCTTCCACCGGTGGAAGCGGCGGAATTTCCGCCGCGCGCCGCTCGCCTTCGGTCGACGAAGTTCCGCCTGTCGCGACGACGAACACGGCGCTGGCGGCGACGGGGTTGACCAACAGCGCGAATGCCGGCGGCGGCGGCGGAGGCGGAGGAAGATCTGACGTGTCAGGCAGCGAAGGTCGCGACGACGGAGGCGACTCGAACGTCAGCTCGGGCGCTGCGGGAGCCACCGAGGCAACAGCTGGCGTTAGCGGCGGCGGCGGTAGCGGGCCGTTAACGAAACGGCAGCGGAAAAAAGGCTCCCTTCAGAACATTCTAGAAGGTTTAGAAGACGAGAAAGCGGGCCGCGGCGGCGCGGGAAAGCTTAGTGGCATAGTAGCAAGAGGAGGAGGAGGAGCAGCAGCAGCGGGAGGAGGATTCGCAATTCCTTCTCGAACTGAAAGTCCGAACCTTTACGCGGGTCAGCAAACCCCCACGCCTCCGCCAATTGACACGTTCCCGCGAGAGGAAGACATAGTGGACGAGTCGCGCCGGTCGCTGACGTCACTCGAGCGTGTGGAGCGGCTCGTGGCTGCCGTCCTGCTGGCGGCCGGCACGGCGGTGCCTTTGGACTCTAGCGCGATAAATAGGAGATTAAAGAAGGAGTTAAACCCCGAAAGTATAGACCAAGCCGCGATTTTAGAGGTCGGAGGGGAGGACGGGCCAATAGGCGCGCTAGAAACGGCCCTTAGGGTTCTTGCGGGGATGACTGTCGGGGGGGGCGCGGAAGCGGGAGGCGGAGCGGGGAAGGCGGGGGGAAAGCGGAGCTGGAAGGGCGGAGCAGGGGGGAGCGTGAGTGGAGCGCCTTTAGTGGAGATAGAGGAATTTGCTGTGGCTGGAGTGGCTAGGTTGATGGTTTTAGGGTTTGACAGGCTGGCGCTTTCGAGGATGTTTCCTGGGGCGACGATTCCGTCTGCAGAAGCTTCCCGGAAGCAGCAGGAGAGGGAGGAGGAGGAGGAGGTGGGGTTGCTGCTAGGCAGGAGGGGAAGGGGCGGTTTTGGGCGGGAGAATCGGAGGTTTGGGGTTGGAAGAGGGGGGATGGGGGGGGATGGGGGAAGAATGGGGGGGGGAAGGGGGGCAGGGAGGGGAGGGACATGGGGGATAGGGAAGGACCCTCGCAGTTTCCTCCTGGTATGGCTCCGCATGGGTTTGAACCCGCAGGGCCGATGGGTGGGGTGAATTACCCTGGTGGAGGCAGGGGGTATTTTCCTGGTGGGGGTGGGCCAGGAGGGGGTATGGGGGGGAATTTCCCCCCTGGGGGTGGACCAGGGCCAATGGGCATGCATGGGGGGGAGGGCCGAGGATGGGGGGAATGGGGGAAAGGCCCCCCTATGGCCAAGGGGGAATGGGCGGAGGGTTCGGGCCAGGAGGGGGAAGGGGGGGAATGATGCCTTATAACGAAAACATGGGTATGGGGATGGGGATGGGCATGGGTATGGGCATGGGCATGGGCATGGGTATGGGCATGGATCATAGAATGCAAGGCCTTCCCCCTCCCTTCCGCCCCCACCCGAGTCTCCCCGCTCCCCACTCTTTGGGAATGGGCGGAGGGGGAAGAGGCGGAGGGGGAGGGCCAGGCGGAGGGGGGCAGGATGCAGGGGGGAGATGGGGGAGGGGGATGGCAGCAGAAGCGGGGGAGGGTCGAGGCGGTGGGGGGGAAACCGGAGGGGAAGGGGAGAAGGAGGGGGAGAAGAAGGGGGAGAAAAAAAGGGAGGGGAGGAACAAAGGCGGGGAGGGAGACGGGGAGGAGAACGAGGAGGAGGGGGAGGAGGAGGAGATGAGGGTGGAGGAGATATTATCAAAGAAGTCGTTTAAAGAAATGCAGCAGTCTAAGCGGGGAGAGGAGCTACTGGAGCTGCTGCAGAAACCCACTGCGAAAGAAACGGCTGTTGCTGCACGGGTATGTATGGAACTTAGGGCTCAGGGTTGAGGGTTCAAGGCTGGGTTAGGGTTGAGGGTTGGGGGGGAGGAGGAGAAGATGAGGGTGGAGGAGATATTGTCAAAGAAGTCGTTCAAGGAAATGCAGCAGTCCAAGCGGGGCGAAGAGTTGCTAGAGCTGCTGCAGAAACTCACAGCCAAGGAGACAGCCGTCACTTCACGGGTATGTATGGAACTCAGAGTTAGGGTTTTGGGCTGGAGGTTTCGGGTTGAAGGTTGAGGGTTGAGGGTTGAGGAGGAGGAGATGAGGGAGGAGGAGATATTGTCGAAGAAGTCATTCAAGGAGGTGCAGCAGTCCAAGCGGGGCGAGGAGCTGCTAGAGCTGCTGCAGAAACCCACAGCCAAGGAGACAGCCGTTGCTGCACGGGTATGTATGGAACTCAGGGCTCAGGGTTGAGGGTAGGGTTACAGTTGTGGGCTCTCAAGGCTGTTAGAGCTGCTGCAGAAACCCACTGCGAAAGAGACGGCTGTTGCTACACGGGTGAGGCCGGAGGGATGCTAGGTACGCAGGTTGCGGGCATTTGTGTGAGAGTTTTGAAAAGGGTTCTGGTTTTGATGGGACTGTAAATCTGCAAGGCATTCTCAAATTTATTGTCCCCCCCCCCCCCCCCCCCCCCCTTATTTGTTTTGTTTTTGTTTTTGTTTTTCCAAACAAATTGTGTGCCCCTTCAACTTTTTCATAAGCCCTAATCCTCTGTGTGTCCCCTCCAGTTCAAGACCAAGGGCGGGTCCATGGTGCGAGAGTACTGCAACCGGCTCACTAAAGACGACTGCCGCCGCCACCGCAACTCATACACTGCTTGCGACAAGGTCGGTGGCATTGTGGTGGTTGGCAAAAGAAACTGTCTACCAGTATGAAGACGCATACTATACCAATATGAAGACGCATACATTTAGGAGACGGATCGTGTGTGCCTGTTTGCCCCTCCCCACTCCTGTGCCTATTCCCTTCCCTCTTCTGTTCTCCTCCAATTTGCCAAATCATATCGCTGTGCACGTGCTCTGACTGACATGAACCTGCCAATACTGCGATTAGCTTAACCACACCTGAACATGAACCTGATGAAACACGGGTGCCACTACCAGTCATTGCACCCTCTCCTTTCCTTCATTCCCTTCCTTCCTCTATCCCACTCCAGGTGCGCTTGCTGCATCATATCTCCGCACACCGACATGAACCTGGGAGATTTCGGATCCAACTCACAGGTATCCCCCCCACTTCGTCCCCGTGTTCCCAACCTTCCTCCACTCCACACCAGGTGCATTTCCGTCGCATCATATCCCCGCACACCGACATGAACCTGGGAGATTGCTCTTTCCTCGACACTTGCCGCCACATGAAGGTAAGCAAGCTTGCAGTCCCTGCAGTCCCTGCAGTCCCTGCTCTTCTTTGCTGCGCTTTAAACATAGGCACAAACCGTCTCTCTCTGCTGCTCCTTCTCTTCTCCGATTCCATCCCCCTCCCCCCAAACGTGCAAGTACGTGCACTACGAGCTGGACCCTGTGCCAGATGGAGCATCCTACGCCTACGGCGCCATCATCCCTCCAGGGGCCGCCCTGCCTGTGGTACTGCCACAAGCAATCCCTCCCTGCTCCAACCCCCTCCCTCTTCAACCCCCCTCTCTCTCTCTCACCCCCCCCCCCCCAGACGTGCAAGTACGTGCACTACGAGCTGGACCCGGTGCCGGACGGAGCACCCTACGGGGGCATGATCCCTCCGGGGGCCGCCCTGCCACCCGCCGCCGCTGCTGCTGCAGCCATGGGCATATTCGGCCCCCATGGGGGGCCAATGGGGCCGCATGGCATGCATGGGCACGGGCCGGCCATGCCGCCTGTGGTGCAGATTAATTCCTTCGGCCAGTACATCCCCTCCACCATTCCAAGACCGTTCGACCGGCCTCCAAGGCCGGAATACTGCTCGCAGGTATGGATTCATTTATGGGAGTGAGTGTGGATATGGGTGTGAATGTGGGCATGGGCATGGGCCGGCCATGCCCCCTGTGGGGCAGATTAGCTCGTTCGGGCAGTTCATTCCATCGACTATTCCCCGCCCGTTCGACCGCCCCCCCCGGCCCGAGTACTGCTCTCAGGTAAGCTGTTGTGCATGGGCGTGGGCAGGGCATGGGGTGTGCGTATGGGTGTGACAATGGGCATGGCCATTGCATGCCTCTTGCCGCCGCTGCTGCCGCCGCTATGGCCATATTCGGCCCCCATGGGGGACCCCTAGGCGGGCCGCATGGCAGGCATGGGCATGGGGCGGGCGTGCCCCCTGTGGTGCAGTTCAATTCGTTCTCGCAGTACATTTCATCGACCATCCCGCGGGCGTGTGCATGGGCGCGTTCATATGGGTGTGGTGATGGGCATGGGCCGGCCATGCCCCCTGTGGTGCAGTTCAATTCGTTCGGGCAGCACATTCCCTCCACCATTCCTCGGGTGGTACATTCAACTCCTTTGGGCAGCACATTGCATCGACTATTCCCCGTCCGTGTGACAGGCCTCCCCGGCCGGAATACTGCTGCCCCAGGTGTGGGCGTTTGGGGTGTGTGTGGGGTGGGGTGGGGTGTGTGAGAATCATGCGTATGGGCATGGGCGTGCATGGGTGGGTGTTCAAAAGGACATCTCAGAAATCATGCGTAAGGTGCCTCAGAAATCCTCTCTCTCCACTTTTTTTTAACTGTGAGGTGCAGGTTGAGCTGGGCGAGGCGCAGTGGGTCAACTGTGAGGTGCAGGTTGAGCTGGGGGAGCAACTATTCCCCGTCTGTGGGTCAACTGTGACATCTGCAACCTTCCGCACGGACATTCTGGGGCAGTTTGGTTTGGGGTCATCATGGCTAACCCACCGTGGGATGATGGGAGGGACATCACTGTGGGCTGACTTCCGAAAGGCCCTCTGTCTGTCTCCGCTCATGTTCATTGCAGGTTGATCTAGGGGAGGCGCAGTGGGTCAACTGTGACATCCGCAACTTCCGAACGGACATTCTGGGGCAGTTTGGTTTGGGGTCATCATGGCGTTGCAGAACCCCTGTGGGACATGGAAAGTTGCAGTGGGAGGGACATCACATCCCCCTGAGTTGACCTCCGAAAGCCTCTCTGCTTTGCTTGTTCCTGTTGCAGGTTGAGCTGGGCGAAGCACAATGGGTCAACTGTGACATCCGCAACTTCCGAAGGGACATTCTTTTGAGGCGCCTCAAAAGGGCAGTTTGGTTTGGGGTCATCATGGCTAACCCACCGGGGTCATCATGGCGGACCTTCTTTGGGAGGGACACTCCTGTGACCTGACCTCTGAAAGCCTCTCCCCGTCTTATCATTGCCTGCGTAAACAGGTGGAGCTAGGGGAGGCTCAATGGGTCAATTGCGACATCCGCAACTTCCGCACGGACATTCTGGGGCAGTTCGGGGTCATCATGGCGGACCCACCGTGGGATATTCACATGGAGCTACCATATGGCACCATGGCGGATGATGAGATGCGCACCCTGAATGTGCCGGTGCGTATGTGCAACAGTGCATGTATGGCGGGTCAACCCTGTTTCTCTGCATGCACATTCATGCCTGTCGTAGACACCTTGAAGCCCCTGTAACGCCCTCATGGCGGACTGCACCCGTGGCCGTGGGACATGACATTCACATGGAGCTGCCTTACGGCACCATGGCGGATGATGAGATGCGTCGGTTTTTGAGTCGACTCAAAAACCGACTCTCAATGTCCCGGTGAGTGTGTGTGAGTGTGTGTGTGTGTGTCCCTCAGCATGCCAGCGTGTTCCCTTATAATCACCCCTCTCATCGCCCCCCGTGGCCGTGGGACATTCACATGGAGCTGCCCTATGGCACCATGGCTGATGATGAGATGCGGACCGGGAATGTTCCGGTGAGGGAGTGTGAGTGTGTGTTTGTGTATGCGTGTATGTGGTGGGTCAACCCTCTCTCTGCCCATCACCCCATCATCCCCCGTGGTGGGCGGTGAGTGAGCCTCTGCACTGCCTTGGGATCACCCCCCGTGGGACATTCACATGGAGCTGCCTTACGGCACCATGGCGGATGATGAGATGCGGACCCTGAATGTTTCGGTGAGGGAGTGTGTTTTGTATGTGTATGGTGGGTGAACCCTCTCTCTGCTCACCTATCACCCCATCACCCCCCGTGGGACCCACATTCACATGGAGCTGCCTTACGGCACCATGGCGGATGATGAGATGCGCATTCTCATCTCAACGTGCCTGTGAGTGAGTGATCCTTGACTTAAACGTGCCCGTGAGTATGGCTAGGAGTGAGCTTCAGAACAAGGGAGCTGCCATACCGCACTGCACCGTAGCTGATGATGGCATTCGCATTTTGAATATTCACTCCTCTCCCCTGTCTCCTCCTCCTCCCCCCCCCCCACACGCCACTCCTTTGTTGTTTTGTTTGACTCATAATAGCCCCTTCAACCACTCCCTTGTCTCACCCTCGCACTCCTCTTCCCCCCTTCTACCCTGCTGAATCCCCCAGGGATTGCAAACGGATGGGCTCATATTCCTTTGGGTGACAGGCCGTGCTATGGAGCTGGGTCGAGAGTGGTGAGTGTGACAGTGGCGGGTGGTGAGTGTGACAATGGCTCGTGGTGAGTGTGACAATTGGGGGTGGTGAGTGTGACAATTGGGGGTGGTGAGTGTGACAATTGGGGGTGGTGAGTGTGACGATCGCAGGTGGTGAACGCGACAATAGAAGGCAGTGGGACAGTTAACCAGGTGAGCCCGGTCTGCAGCAACACAGGTGAAGCTGGGAAAGTGAGATTTTAGGGCGCCTACCTATCACGTTCTCTGTTCTTGTCTTAGTGGAATGTGATAGGTTCCTGCATGGGAACGGAAGCAAGATCTCGTCATACGTTCACCCACCTCCAAAAGCTGAATAATTGCAGGTATATGTATACATATATACATGTGTGTATGTTTATATATGTGTTCGTATGTGTATGCGTATTCTCATTTATGTTTGCATATGTACACGAGCATACAAGTGTTTTTGGATTCATGTACATGATATCTATATATATACATCTGTTGACATATATATGTATGTCTACATAGATGTATAAATTTCTACTCCTGCCTGCCCGCAGTTTGGAGCTGTGGGGGTATCGGCGAGTGGAGGAGATAATATGGGTGAAGACGAATCAGCTGCAGCGAATCATCCGCACGGGGCGCACGCACGGGGCACTGGCTGTGGATCGAAGCCCTTGCAATGAACCGCTGCCTCAATCCCAAACCCCTGCTGCTTCTTATGCCCCCTGCAGTTTGGAGCTGTGGGGGTACCGTCGCGTTGAGGAGATAATATGGGTGAAGACGAACCAGCTGCAGCGCATCATTCGCACGGGGCGCACGGGGCACTGGCTGAACCACAGCAAGGAGCACTGCCTGGTGGGCATCAAGGGCGCTCCCCTCGTGAACCGCAACATTGACACCGACGTGATCGTCGCTGAAGTCCGCGAGACGAGTAGAAAGCCCGATGAGGTGAGAGGAGAGCAGATGGTAGTACGAGCTTACTTTGGGCTTTCATCGGGCGTACGTTGAGACTCTATCGAGGCAACATCGACACCGACGTGATTGTGGCTGAAGTCCGCGAGACCAGCAGGAAGCCCGATGAGGTTAGAGGAGATGGACAGGAGAGGAGAGGAGAGGAGAGGAGATGGTACAAGCATACATCGGGATTGCTTCGAGCCTGCATTGACACCGATGTGATTGTGGCTGAAGTCAGAGAGACCAGCAGGAAGCCCGATGAGGTGAGACCAGCAAAAGTCCGGATGAGGCGAAGGAATTGGGACGAGGTGAGAAGAGCAGAACGTTCCAGCACCTTTCTTTCTGTCAAGGAAGCTGTTGAGTCGACTTTTGAGTCGACTCAAAAAGCACCTCTCTGTCAAGGAAGCTGTTGATTCGACTCAGAAGTGATACGAGCTGGTTTTTGAGAATTCTCAAAAACCAGGGAAGCTGTTGATTCGACTCAGATGTGACCTTCTCTCCCTTCCCCCCCCTCTCCACCTCCCCTCCCACCCGCCCCCCCTCTCTCACAATAGTGTTTTCCGCTGATCGACTGCGAGAGACCCTCTTACTTGACCTCACCTCTTCCCCCCCTCTTCCCCCCATCACTCTCAGATGTATTCTATGCTAGAGCGCATTAGTCCAAGGACAAGGAAGCTGGAGCTGTTTGCACGCATGCACAACACACACGCGGGGTGAGTGGGTGGTGGTCTGTGCGTGTGTGGGTGGTTTTGTTTGTGGGCGGGGTGATAGCAATGTAACCCCGTGAGACGGTTGTGATAGCAATGTAACCCCGTGAGACGGTTGTGATAGCAATGTAACCCCGTGAGACGGTTGTGATAGCAATGTAACCCCGTGAGACGGTTGTGATAGCAATGTAACCCCGTGAGACGGTTGTGATAGCAATGTAACCCCGTGAGACGGTTGTGATAGCAATGTAACCCCGTGAGACGGTTGTGATAGCAATGTAACCCCGTGAGACGGTTGTGATAGCAATGTAACACGGCTTGTGACTGCTGTTCTGCTGATGTGCATGTCTTTTCTCCCTGCATGCTCTCCTCCCTCCCTCACCTCAGCTGGATCTCCCTGGGCAATCAGCTAGATGGCACACGGCTTGTGGACGCTGACCTGCTCATGTGCTCCTCTGCTCTCCCTCTAACCCCTTCACCTCTCTGCACCTTCCCTGCACCTCTCTGCACCTCCCTCACTCCAGCTGGATCTCTCTGGGCAATCAGCTAGATGGCACACGGCTTGTGGACGCAGACTTGCGCAAGAGGTTTAAGGAGGTACGCTGTGGTGCCAGACAATAGGAGGTTCGGTTGATGTGACTTAGACTTTCTTTATATATGCAAAATAAATTCATGTATGTGTATATATACTCATGAATATATATATATATATATTTCATATATCAACAGCTAATGGGGATCTTTAGGAGGTATGGGGTAGGGAGGTTTGAGGTTTGGGTGTCTTGTGGTACACTTTGCCAATTATGCGGGCCCTTGCAAGGTTTAACTCATCCACTCCACTCCTTCCCCCTCCTGCTCCCCACTCCCAACCTCTCTCTCTCTGTGACAGGTGTATCCAGATATCGAAATCCAGCCACCAGACCCCCCATCTGAGGATGCCGCAGCTGCCAACACAAAGTAACTTGCGAGTCAGCTCTAATGCCCCCGAGGATTCCACAGCTCCTCCTAACAAAGCACCTGTGAGACATGTCATCTCAAAACGGGTGTACCCGGATGGTGGGATCCAGCCACCTGAGGAAGCCACAGCACAGCTGTCAACACCAAGTGATTTCTCTGAGTCTACGCTAATGCCACCAAGGATTCCACCGCTCCCAACACTAAGCACCCGTGAGATACCTCGCCTCAAAACAGGTGTACAATGCGGCCACCAGAGGAAGCCACAGCTGCCAACACAGCTGGCAGCAAACCCAACGCATGACCAGGAATAATGTTGGCACAGTGCTTAGCTGCTGTGGTTGTATATGCGCCTTTGGCCTTGGTAGTATCTAGCATGTAGGTAGGTATGGTGCTTTCAAGTAAACATGACAGCCTGCTTTGTGCATGTTTAGCTGCGAGCCACATACCTCACGGTAGCAGATCAACTACAACGAGAAATAACGAAGCCACCCTTACAGGAAATCGAAGTTGTGGGACTTTTAGGTCAGGTGGTTGGGGGAAATACCGTACTTGGGAGGAACCGAAACAAATACGGTAATGCAAGTTGCAACGGGTAAAAGTTTCCAGTTGCCTGCCTTCGTTATTGCAGTACGACACTAGTATCGGGCGTCTCCAAGAAGGGGAGCATTGTCATAATCATGCCTGCCGCCAACAGAATTTAAAACCAGGGTGCACATTCAATTGGATTTCTGTCAAAGGTTAACCTTTGACCTCGGGGTTACTCAGTGATTTAGGAATATCTGGGGGGAGTGTTCGCTTCAGCAGGTGAACATTTGAACCCTCGAGATTTGGCAAATGTATACCGAAGTCATCGAATGTGCTTCCGCCAATTCGTTTCCCCCCTCCCCATACCTATTCCGCTCCCACCGAAATTGTTTCCCCTTCCCCCACAATATCGTCTCACCCCCTTTCCCCTTTCCGCCAACCCAGTTGCCCTCCCCTTGATCCCCAATTTCTAGATCCAAGTGTTATCAATTTCTCCCCTGCCAAGCCTCATCTCTCACGGACGAAAAGCCCCATGCTCGCCCATTCTCAACTATTTATTCGCTACTCGTCAACCAATCAGCAGTTCCCGCAAACATGCCGCCCAAAATTTAGCCTGGAGTCGCGTTGAATGTGGACCCTGGTTTTAATGAATGTGTGGAGTCACAACAAATGGCATCCATGATCCCAGAATCACACACAACTGGCATAACCACCTAAATTAGACCACTGAGTTGCAGTCCCCATTGGGCAGGCTGAGCCCAGCCATCTCGAGTGTTGAGGAATGAAGGATTCGCCTCTTCTCTCCATGCAGTCACCACTGGGTCAACATTGGGTCACCTCACCACTGCATCACCACTGCATCACCACTGCATCACCACTGCATCAAATGCTGTCTGTTGCAGTCCCCATTAGGACTCAGCCCAGCCATGTTAGGTTTCGATTGTATAGGAACCCGCCTTGCAGTCACCACTGCGTCACTTGCTGTGCCATACAGCCACCTCTAATTCACCACCGAATCACCATTGAGTCACCCGTTGTCTCTTGCAGTCCCCATGGGGTGGACTGAGCCCAGCCATCTTGAGTGTTGACAAATGAAGGGTTTCGCCTCTCCATGCAGTCCCCATGGGGTGGACTGAGCCCAGCCATCTTGAGTGTTGACAAATGAAGGGTTTCGCCTCTCCATGCAGTCACCACTGGGTCACTATTGACTCACACGCTGTCTCTTGCAGTCCCCATTGGGCGGACTCAGCCCAGCCATCTTGAGCGATATAGACTCAATTCTCTCCCTCTGCTCCACCCACTCACCTCACCCCCACCTTCCCCTACCGTCACCACTGAATCACCACTGGTCACTCGCTGTGCCTTGCAGTCACCACTGAGTCACCCGTTGTCGCTTGCAGTCCCCATTGGGAGGACTCAGCCCAGCCATCTTGAGTGATATCGACTCAATCCTCTCCCTCTGCTCTGTTTCCTCCCTCACGTCCCGCCAACACCGCTTCACCCTCTCACTCCCTCCTCCTCCTCTCCCTCCTCCTCGCCCTAAAACCCCTACCCCGCCTACCTCACATGCCCCTATAACGCCCCGTCCTGCTGCTCCAAATACTGCCCCTAACCCCCCCCCTACCCCACTCCCTACCTCTGCCCCCAACGCCCTCCTTGCTGCTCCCACCCTGCCTGCTCCACCTGCCTCCTCCGCCCTCCCTCTACTAGGGGAGAACCGCCCCGCCCTGTGTGTTGGGCTCTGAAATGGCTCGACACTAGTGGGGGAAAACGGCCCGTGCCTGTAAGTGGGGGTCTGAAACGCGTCAACACCCGTGGGAGAAATCGGGCCAGGTCTGTGTGTGGAGGCCAGTGGAATGGCGATCGGGCACGAGGGGGAGGGGCGAGTGACGGGACACGAGGGGTTCAAGTTGTTCATCCCATCTTGAAACGGACGCAGGCTGTTGCAGATACTGCTGCTGCCGTTGTTGCTGCTGTTGTAGTTGCTATTGTGGTTGCTATTGTGGTTGATACTACTACAACCGCCGATGAAAATGCCTCTGCTGCTGTCCAAAGCGCTGCCAAGCTGACTGCTGCTGAACCCCACTGGGGCTGCTCCGGGGTTCCCTGTAGCTGATAATGAACCTGCTTGTACGGAGAGCGCTGATAGCAAGGCGGATGGTGTAGACGAGGAGGCTTGTAACGAGGATATAGGATCCTCTGCCATATCTGCATCGGTGAAATCAGTGGCGGCTGTGGCGGCAGCAGCGGTGGCTGTGGTGGCACCGCCATTGGTGGTTAACCACCGGGCCTCGTTGAAAGAGCTGCTGGGGAGGAAGAAGGAGGGAGATAGATGAAAGGGGGGGGGGGAAGGGGTGAGGAAGGGAGACGGCAGGGGTAGGGTTAAATGCTAGCGTGGTGGGAGCAGGGGTGGCTGTGGTGGCGCTGCCATTGGTGGTTAACCAACGAGCCTCGTTGAATGAGCTGATGTGGAGGAGGGGGGAGGGGGATAAGTGGGGAGGAAGGGGAGGGGGGGGAGGAGTGGCGAGCAAGGGAGAGGGCAGGAGAAGGGATGAGGGCATTCCATGGGAGTTGGTGAGATGCACAGGGGGTGTGCTGGCAGAACGCATGGGAAGATGGGGAGCATGATTCACCTAGTGCATGAAACGTACCTGAGTCAGAGAGAACAAAAGCCGTACCTGAGGCTGCTGTTGCTGCCCATGGTGTGCTGGCGAAATGCATGGGACGAGAGCGAGAGCAGGAGCACCGAGGGGGGTGCATGGAGACAGCGGGCTGACTGTCTGTCCAGCGCAATCTGAGGCACAAAGGGGTGGGTTCTAACGTACCTGAGGGAAACAGAGCATAGGGAGTACCTGAAGCTGCTGCTGCTGCCCATGTTGTGCTGGCGGAACGCATGGGACGAGGGCGAGCGCAGGAGCACCGAGGGACGTCGGCCACACACGTCGCAAGACAAACCCAGATGCTCCCTCCTGATGAAGGGCGTGAGAGAGAGAGCGTCATGAAAGTGATGGATGAGGCGAGTCCTTTTCCCAATTGTGTTGTCTCAGAAGAGAGACGCATGTATGTGCTCCCTCCGGTATAATTATGATCATGATGGAATTGCATTTGCGACCGTTTAGAAGCAAACATCGTAAACTTACAAGCAATAGATGGGTTGTTAAGAACAACGCAGCCCCCCCTTTTTGTCTCATCATCATGCCTCACAAACATCTCCCCTTCATCACCATACCTCCCCGTACCTCACAACACTGCACCATACCTCACCAGACCTTACCACACCCCACCATACCTGGAGTAGCATTCCACAAACTCATCGATCAGCACAGGCCACGCCCCTGCCACACCACACCATACCCCGCCATACCCCACCATACTCCACCCCACCATACCTGGAGTAGCATTCCACAAATTCATCGATCAGCACAGGCCACGCCCCTGCCATGACATGAGATGAGAGAGTGAGGAAACGGAGATGATGTAGAGGGGAGAAAAAGGAGGGAGAAAAGAGGGCGGGGGATACTGAGGAAAGTAACGAGAAGCGGCCACAAATTTTAGGGTTTAGAAACAGCAGCTGTAGCACAGTCGAAGCTGTAGCACAGTAGAAGCTGTAGCACAGTAGAAGCTGTAGCACAGTCGAAGCTGTAGCACAGTAGAAGCTGTAGCACACTAGAAGCTGTAGCACAGTAGAAGCTGTAGCACAGTCGAAGCTGTAGCACACTAGAAGCTGTAGCATACTAGAAGCTGTAGCACAGTCGAAGCTGTAGCACAATCAAAATACAAGGAAACCGTGCTGAAACCGTGCTTACCATCCGAGTCATACATGCTGAGGTCAGCGCCAATCGTGCAGCTGAAGTCCAGCACCTGCTGCCACGTGTCTTCTGATACTGCATACCGCTGATGCAGCTGTGACATAGAGGGGTGAAGGCCGGGAGGGAAGAGAGACGACGAAGACGAGAGGGTGAGATGACAGGGTTGAGACAGCTGAAGGGGAGAATAAAGTCCAGCACTTGCTGGCACGTGACCTCTCTGATACAGCATACCACTGATGCGGCTGAAGGGGGGGAGGCAGGAATGGGAGGAGAGGGCTGTGAGAGGTGAGAGGAAAGGGGTGCCGAGGAGAACAAGCATTGAAGGGGATAGCTGAAAGGGGGCAGGTTGAAGGGGCGGGTGAGGGGGGCAGGTGAGGGGGGCAGGTGAGGGGGGAAGGAGAGGGGGGCAGGTGAGGGGGGCAGGTTGAACGGGCAGGTGATGGGGCGGGCGAAGGGGCAGGTGAAGGGGCAGGTGAAGGGGATAGGGCGTACCGGCACAAAGTCGCACCAGGAATCCACAAGAGGGAAGACCCCTGCTAAGGCGAACCTCCATGCCTCAACAGCTGTTGCTACGTCTGGACGATGGAAGGGGGGGTGGATAAGGGGTTCTTACAATGGGTGAGGCGCCTTTTTTTTTCTTTCAAAATGTCACCAGGAATTCACTAAGATAAAGGTTGCTGCCAGCGCAAATCAGCAAGGTAGACTTCAATAATACACGTAGAAGAAGTGAGAGATGGTGATTGTTTTGAGACGACTCAAAACTCGTGAATCAGCAAGGTAGACTTCAATACACGTAGAAGAAGCGAGAGATGGTAATTGAGTGGGGGGGTTTCCCACCTTGTTACAGTAACCACAACTCACCCACGCCCTTCTGCCCTTGCTCCCGGCTCAGGAAGAAGGCAAACTTGTAGAACACACGAAATGCCCTCCCGCCGAGTGGATTGAGCTGGAATAGACAAGAGACGCGAGGGAGGGGAGGGGGAGAGGAGAGACAGAGAAGAGCCACTGAGAATAAAGATACGACAGTTGACAAATCTCCCATCACCAAGCAATTTAGCTTGCAGGTCACTGCACTGCACAACTTTTTGGAAAGGTCGCTGCCACGAAAAGTCATGGCCACCAAGTGGTGTTCACGCTTGAAATTCGTCTTACATTCACTCGACCTCTCAAGCCCACTTAATAGCACAGCATTTTAGAGCAAGCAACGTTTCATTTAAATACCCCTCAATTGCTCACCAACCTGTTCACTCAGTGACTGACGCAATCTGCGGAGACTGGAAAGGGCCATAGCCCTGCGGGCACAGCCACGGGAAGGGAAACGGGAGGACATATGAGAGGATTTTTTAGGTGCCTCAGAAAGAGACTGGAAAGGGCCATAGCCCTGCGGACACAGCCACGGGAAGGGAGACGGGAGGACATATGAAAGGAAAGGGAGGTGGGGAAGCGGGATGGGGGGATGGGGGCAGAAAGGGGAGGAGAGGAGAGGGGAGGGAGTGAGCTGGTTTGATGTCACAATCATTTTAAAAATAATGCGGAGACTAAAAGAGGGGCGTGGCCAAGCGGACAGGGTGAGGGCAGGGGAGGAGCGGGAAGGGGAGTGAAGGAGAGGAGGCGGGAGGGGGGGCGAGAGGAGGGTTGATTGATACACATTTTGTATTAGAGAGGGAAGGGAAGGAAAGGGGGATAAGGAAGAGAAAACAGCCGATGAACCTTCACAAGGCTTGCAGAGACGAACCTTCAAACGAGGCATGTATTATTATGGGGGTGGGGGGGTAATGCAACTTGCTCGAGGAATGATATACACAATATAAAGTGAAGTACAGAAACCCCATGAAGTGCCTTATCAGTCGACTGAAATGAGCAATATCGCTGCAACATGTAGGAGGAACGATGCAGTCTAGCGAGTAAGGAATGATACATGCAGGCAGACAACTGAAGAAAGTTGGCTTTTGAGTCGACTCAAAAGTGAATATCGTTGCAACATGCACGAGGAACGATGCGGTCTAGTCTAGCAAGTAAGGAATGATGCATGAAGGCAGACAACTGAAAAACTGGATTCATTCTACACAGAACAAACGAGTGATGGATGGTGGTAGGCAGGGCAGGCAGGTGGCAACTTTTGAGGCGCCTCAAAAAGCAGGGCAGGAAGGTGGCAACGCACCCTGTGAGCCCTTGAGAGCTTGCATACGCCGAGATGGCTGTGAGCCTTGCCTTGATAGCTGTTGCCGTGTCGCTTGACGCCACTGCGCCTGACCGGAGGGGATGAGGGGTAAGGCGGAAAAGTGGACGAGGAAACAAAAGCGGGGCTCTTATGAGGCATAGAAATGGCATAGAGACTGGTTGCATACACCGAGATTGCTGCAAGTCTCGCCTTGATGGCTGCTGCCTTGTCACTTGACGCCAAGATGCCTGACCGGACGAGGAGACGAGGTGGAAACGCAGTACATAAGAACGAGGTCATCACAGAACGGAGAGCCACCACAACGGACCAGACACGGGGGAATACGGACATTGAATAGGTTTGGCAGACAGGGTCGGCGAGTGGAAGGATGAAGTACGTGGCGTGAAGGAAGGGTTTCATCTCAAGCTGGCAAACCGAACGTAAGCGGATTTGGAGACGAGAAGAAGCAACTCGCGCAAGGGTTTTGGTAAAAGCCGGTAAACCTTACTCGAGTACTCTCGAAACAGCTCTCGCATCTCGAAATCATGTTGCGACGCCGACGCCCCGTCGCCAGGCGACCGCAGGGTCGCACCGGGCGAAGCTGAGGCTGGACCGATCCTGGGATCGATCTGGGCTGGACTGAGCGAGTGCACGGATGCGGGTAACGACGCGCGAGGAAGCGCGACGCCGTGAAGATGAGCATGCATGGCTGACGGCCCCATCGCGCCTCGTGGATCTCAGCAACCCAATTCAGCCAGTTCTTGAGGCGTCTCCAAAAACGCCGTCAGGCACCACCCTTATGAGTGACGCCTGAAATCACGGGCTCCGAAGCTTTGAGAGGCGACAAAAAACGGATCCAGCGAACTCCAGCGACGACAGCGCGTGATAACCAATGGCTGACGACTGGCTGAGCAACGAATCAGCCAAATTTCACCACCACTGGCGGCTCTACAAACGCTACCTCTACGGCTTCGAAAACTCCACCCTAAGGGATCTGATAGATCTTGGAAACGAATAACTGGATTCAGCCAGTTCCAGCGTTGAAATGGCCTGACGACGGTGTCCTTGTTGCTCTGCTTGCGCTACGGCTAGAGATCAGGATATGCTTAGATATCTGACGCCGTCTAAACAAGCCGTCGTTGCACAATAAACATACAGGTGTGCTGACGAGTTAGGTGGGAGTACGGCACTCCAGGCTCTGGCACTAGGAGGAAGCACATTAGAAACACAGGACGGCTGAACTTTGAAGATATTTTAGTCCGACAAACAACATGGTTTGATGTGATGAGCTAACTACACTACGGTACGTGGGAACAGTTGGAATCTGGAATGCGTGTCAGCCAGCAGTTAGAAGAACCTCTCTCGGAAACTAGAGGGCGTGAACAGGCTGCGGTGTCCTTCAGACACTTCGCTTCCGACACCCTCCAAAACGATTATGGAGCCACCCGTACATTTTCAAAGAGCACTTCGGTGTCATCCTGGTTGAATGCCACACGACAAATGCAGACTTTCGGGATGAACTTCCGCTGTGAACAAGCCCCTCGGAAGACGGTTTTCCTGGGAGTGGAGGCTGATCATTCATTGACATCCATCCATCCACTCACTTGTCATCGCCTAAGCAGGACAGAGGCGGGAATGGTGAAAGTTTGACGAGTCGGCTTGACGATTCGCATTGTGCTATACGCTAGGATGAAGTGATGCATGTACAAATTTCACTTACATATGTGCATCAATCGTTCTGTACGGCCTCACCAATCCACTTTCAGTCCTTGAACACGATGCATTCAAACAAGATAAGGAGATTTAATTTGATATTATGCATGCCCAGCTCATTCTGAATAAGGCACAGTAAAGTTCATAATGGATTATTTTGAAAGATAAGGTGCTATAATTTTTCCTCATACTCTCTGTAGTTATTTTCGCTAACACTTGCTTGCTGGCCTGGTCCGAGTTGCCAGTGAAAGTGCCGACTGAAGTCAAGGGATGTGCCTTGTTCTTTCTGTGAGGACTGATGTGTTCTAATGTTTGCGTCACGGTGCAGTATGGTAAAGCTTAACAACCGCAGTATGGTGTAAACCTTTATGCTGGAAACCCCTTGACTTCACCTCAACTCGGCTCAGCAATCCCACGAGATTCTGTACTGCACTGGCAATTCTCAACTCCCTTGACTCGTCCCATTTGAACTAGGAATTTGCTTTGCACCGCCATTTTCTGGTTTGCTGTCTTTCCTCATCAGGCTGGTTCTGGTGTTCCAATCATTTACTTCGTCACCGTAGCATTTTTTTAGCTTCTTAAAGCCTTCCTTGAGTGCTCTTGCGTACACTTTCCGCGTTTATTTCTGAATGTAGTTGTGTGTACGAGGTGTTCCTGAAGCTCATACAAGATGCGAGCAGCGGGAGCACAAGCCAACCTAGCAATACTTCTCTGAATTTCTGTCGCAATGGCTGACCTTGACGTGCGACGTGGCCGTGCGACTGCGACTGCGACTGCCAAACGCAGTGTCACAAGTAACGACAAAAATGGCTCTCGCCAGGTCCCTGCAGGCGAAACCTTGGGTTGGACGTCAGAGCTATGCCGGAGAATGCTACGTCAAGTAAGAAATACAACGGCGTTCAGTTGTTCACTAACATTCAGTAGCCACAGGTGTGAGTTTTGAAACGTCATTCCTTCCGAAGTAAATGCTTTAGCTAGCAAGTGGCCGGCAAGCAGCTATCACAACACCTTTTTTTTTTTTTTTTTTTTTTTTTAACCAATTCATACTAAATTGCTAGGCTTCCTGCATCATCTACTCATTAGTCTTCCTGCTCCTGTTCCTGAAACGAAGCTGCTCCTACATTATCCCGCCTTCGAGAAATCTAAAAAATGGCCCAGATTAAGCTCTCCCATTCCAGGAACGAAGCTGCTACTACATAACCCGCCTCGACTGTGCAATCGAATGTCATGTAGATTCCTATGTTGCAAAAAAAAACCTTTATAACGATTTATATAGTTTCTGTTACTGTGCAGGCGGAAGCAGGCATTGCTTCAGGAGCAGGCAACGAGCTGCAGGAGTATCTGGCATCAGCAAGCCTGCTGGATGACGTGTCCACCCGTGTCAGCCACGCGCTTGGTGCCCCTGCTGCTTCACCCGCTGCTTCACCTTCTGCTTCCCCTGCTGCTGCTGCTGCCGCTGCTGTTGCTACTACTGATCCCGTGACTGGGGCTGTATCTGCTGTGTCAGAGTGGCGGGAGCTGCAGCACCAGGCGGACTCGCTGCAGCGGACGGTGGTGGACGACTTGAGCTTCGAGCTCCAGAACCTGCTGCAGCGGTACAGGTGGGTGATGCGGTACAGGTGGGTGATGCAGTAGGTGGGTGATGCGGTACAGGTGGGTGATGCAGTAGGTGGGTGATGCGGTAGTACAGGTGGGTGATGCGGTACAGGTGGGTGATGCGGTACAGGTGGGTGATGCGGTACAGGTGGGTGATGCGGTGCAGGTGGGTGCTGCAGTAGGTGTGTGATGCGGTACAGGTGTGTGATGCGGTACAGGTGGGTGCCACTGACACGCCCGATACAGTTGGGTGATGCAGCACACTTGACAGAGTACATACATCCATAACCGCTGGACAAGAGGGCGGTGCTGCTAGTATTGGTGTAAGCAGGCGGACTCGCTGCAGCACATGGTGGTGGACGACTTGAGCTTCAAGCCTATGTATGTGGTACAGGTGTATCCTAATGCGGTACTACCTTCTCATTTACCCATCTGTGTTGTTCACTAGTACCCCCGGGGTCCTATCCCTCCCCTCTCCCCGATCCCTCATCCCCCCTCCTCCTTCTCTTCGTTGGCCTATCTCCCTCCCGAGCCCCGTTCTTTTCCCCGTCTTTTTCAGCAAAGGAGCTGTGGTAAGTCTCGTACGCTGTGGGGCATGTATGATATATCCCCTCTTTCTCCCCTAAGCCCAGTTCCTCCTCTCCCTCGTCACGTCACCCTCCCCCTCACCCCAAATTTCCACATTCCTTCCCCCCCACCTCCCCCGCAGTGCACGAGCCGCAGCAAGGTTCATTTTTTAGGCGCCTCAAAACTAGACTCCCCCTCACCCCAAATTTTCACATTCCTCCCCCCCCCCCCCCCCCCCCCCCCTCCTCCCC